GAAATAAGGATTAACAGAATGTTTGAACGAACGAATAAAAGAACGAAAGGATGAAAAGAGGCTCGAATGAACGAATAAAAGAATATTTAAACGAACAAACGAACAATCGAAGCAATAACAACTAAAACGCGAATGAAACTAAAAACGTTCGTAAAACGAAAAAAATAAATAAACGAAAAAGAAAAATTTATATGTTTTCAGGTGTGCATGTGTATGTGCATGTGTGTGCGTGTGTTTGTATATGTGCGCGTGTATATGTGTGTGTGTGTGTGTCAGTGTGTGTACGCGTAACCAACTTTTGATGGGAGACGAAATCCCAAAAGGGGGGATAGGTGGTGGAAAGGGTCGCTCTCAGAGGATTCGATAAAACGCTGTGAAAAATATCCAATGCTTTTTACGATTAAAGTTGTTGTTGCTGTGGTCTTTGTAGTAGTAATAGTAGTAGTAGTAGTCGTGGTGGTGGAGATCTTTTTTTAGAAGGTAACCTTGTTAGAGTTGTTGTAGAAGGTACTGCTGTTCTTGCTATGTAATCCTGGGTACCTGGTCTCCAAGTCAGGTATTGAACACAAGAGTAAGTACTAAATAAAAGAGATCTTTCTTTCCTTCTTTCTTTCTTTTTTTTTCAAATAATAATAATAATAATAATAATAATAATAATAATAATAATAATAATAATACTTTCTTTTGGAGGAGTGAGAGGGGGATTTTGAAGAAGAGACACAATTTAAGGCCAAAAATTGTAATATTTAAAAAGAGAGGAAATACCAATTACTTTCAAAAATCTTCTAGAAAAAAATGTACATTTTTTAAATATAGCGTTTTGTTTTTACAAATCCTCTTTGTCAAGGTTTGTTTTGGACACAAAAAAAGCATGCCTTAAAATTCATGAAAAGAAACATTACTTTTTTTTCTGCAACTGTTTGTCGTTTAGAGTTTAGAGGTTTTCTGTGTAAAGTATACTTTAGTTTGATATAAAACGGTTAAGGCGTAAACAGTTAAGTCGCAAAGAGAATATTATCGAAATTCGCTATTAATACATGAAATCGAATGCATGTATGTGCTTAGACGGAAGTTGTAACGTTGAATTTATTGAAAGATTTGCTCTTAATTTTCTTAATTTTTAATCGTCGGTCTCCGTACATAGCCTCGAGATAACTAATTCTAGTATGAAATGGTGTGAATGAAAATCTGAAACCTTCAAACAAATACGAAATGTTAAGATTTTCTTTTAGAAGTAGTTTTCCAAACGGAGATTCTTTTGAAAATGCATTTATGCTACCTTACACACACCTTTATATTAAAACACGTTTTAAATGTATATAGTTTTGATGTTTGTTTACATATATATCTATATCTATATATATATATATATATATATATATATATATATATATATATATATAATCATAGACAGAAGCACAATATAATAACAATCGCAGAAAATACAAACTTAGTTCTTTATATATGTGCAATCAACGGATTAAATCAGATACTAGACATGCTAGATACTAGAATTATTATTTATTTTCCTTCAGATAAAAACTCACATTTTCATGATACATTTGGTTTGTAGCTATTATTCGTGAAAGGTGGATGCCTTTAAATATTCTAACTACAAATTCAAATAAATAAATATATGTATGTATATAAAGGTATATAAATGTATATCTTACTAAATCTGAGATGAACACATAAGAAGTAGTTGTATATCAATACAAGGTTCTTGTAAACAACAAGATTTTAATTTCGATCTATATATCTATATAAATTTGTAAATACTACAAACTTCAGTACAACTACATGTTTTTAGAAACCTAAAAACTTTGATAAGTAACAAAGTTTATACATATACATATATATATATGAATATAATATAAAATATATATAAATATATATATATATATATATATATATATGAGTTTGCTTCAGTCTGTATATATATATGTATATATGTATGTATATATATATATATATATATTTATATAAATATATCTATATATATAGCTGTATGCTTACAAATTCATTAAATATTATATATATACATATGAAAGCATTTTTAGTTTTAAGTAAACACACAGACACACATACTCACACACATACACGCACACACACACCCATTGATCTATATGTATATATTTATATATATATATATTTTTATATATGTCGGTTTAGTGCGATAGTTAGTAAGTTCAACTAACAGCAATTATTCGTAGTGCAGAGAATTCAGTCCTCATCTTTAGCTTTAACTTTTTAGGATAAGATAAGTAATATATATGCACTTATTCAATCGAAAGTACGTAATTAGCAATCTGTAAATAAAACCTACTAGCAGTTGTATATATGCATTTTTATATATGTGAATGCATATATATGTGCATACATACAAAAGCATTTATATAAGTGGTTACGTATATAGGTAATCAGTTAGGCAGTTCAAAATCTATTTAACTTCGGCAGGTAGTATGAAACAAGTGTGAACTTTAGTGAACGTTTTAATTGGAAATATATCAGTAAGTGCACTTTTTGTTTTCGCTGTATGTGAAAAAAAATCTTGCATTCGTCGCCTTTTATGAGTGTATGATATTGAAGCGAGCTTAAAGGAGTGTGTGTTTGTTATGTGTGTGTGTGTGAGTTTCATGTATAAACAAATATGTCTCTAGAATGATATCAAGTGTTCCCAACGACGTCGGTAAAACCCCGGAGATTGTATATAAAACGTAACCTCCATAATTGAGTGGAATATATAGCCTTTTGAATCCGACCACAGTAATCTATCAGGGTAATTCTCTCCGGTCGTAATTTTGTATTTTTTTATTTTATTACACACACGTATAATCCAAACGTTTCGAAAGCAGTTTGAAAAATCCTCACCTCTCTTTCTTCCTCTCTATTTATACCTCTCTCATTCTCCGAGTTTAGTTTCTTTACATTTTGTTTTTATATATACCTTTTTTTTTTCTTTTCTTGTATCTCCTTTTGTTTCTCCTCTTCTGCTTTTCTCTATTTTGCTTTTACCATTTTCTTTTTTAATTATTTCCTTTTTGTTTTAATTTACTTTTCCTCTGTCGACCATGTTATCTACTCTTTTGGAATGTTCGCTTGGTATTTTCTCCTCTTCTTCTTGGTGATTTCTCTGAAATGCGTTCGCGAACGCAAACTGCACGCCTTCGATCACACGGACACAAATAGTACCGATCACGGTAGGAAAAAGTGAAGCTCATATCGGAACATGTGTATCTTGCTTAACACATATGCTCGATACTTAAACACGCATAGGAGAAACGTTCAAACACGCACATACAGACAGAGCTTAGTAAATATACACAGACAACACCAAAATGTATATATATATATATATATATATATATATATATATATATATATATATATGTGTGTGTGTGTGTGTGTGTGTATATATATGTGTGTGTGTGTGTGTATATATATATGCATACGTGTAAAGTTTCAGGGAGAATATATATGTGAAATGACAATATCAATAAAGAAAATAAGAAAACTTATCTTAGTCAACGAGTTTCCGCCTTGCAAAATCCTTTGATAAAGTCCCTGAGATGACGAGATGCGTTGGCTAAAACATGTTTTTCCTTTTGTAATTATTCTTATATATATATATATATATATATATATATATATATATATATATATATATATATATAGTAATTATACATAGTTATTATATATATGTATAGTAATTATATATATACACACACATATATATATTAATTATATAAATATAATATATATAATAAGTATATATATATTATATTATATTAAGTACAGATATATATATATATATATATATATATATATATATATATATATATATCATACCACCAGTGTTGGTAAAACTTTAATGATATATTCATATATATATATATATATTCATATGATAAATATACCTTGTGAATTTCAGCTGATAATGTTGTTTGCATATTTTTACAAGAATAATTTGATGAGGTGATATTTTATTATGCAAATCTCGCTTTTTCATAATCTTGTAAATATATAAGTATATTCATTATTTATATATATTTACATTATATTATGCATCATAAGAACAGTAAGATATATAATCCGGTGTTCTTATAGATATTTTTATTTTTACAAAATAGTGCTCAATGTATAATTTACAGAGCATTAATATTATAAATTAATTGATTTAAAATATGGTTTTTCCGCTACACAGTTCTAACCATGTTTCAAAAATGGAAGGTCCAAATTTAATTTTGTAATTAAATTAAAGACATTAGTTCCATTTCATTCTCAAGCGAATTTTGGAGTAACTACTGGGTTTTAAAGTCAGCAAAAATCATAATTTACGTTTCCAAGGAAACAGAGAAATTCATTTCAACCAGAGGAGGGGTGTTTGCGTATTCATTATCGCTGTATTTTGATGTATCAAATTTGGTAGGGGGTGGGGATGTATTCTTCAATGAAATCTGACATCCGTTAAATGCATGTCGTCTGGATTTTTAAAAAAATTTTATTGTTAACGGCAAAGATTCTTACGGCATTTTTTCTATTTGTATATTAAAAATTAGGGGGGGGTGAACTGTGAAGCTCTTAGTGACCGAAAAGGCTAGAGCACGCTAAATCAGACCATCTTCTACATATGAAACTATATATATATATATATAGGGCAAGTTGGTTATTGATATTTATTTATTTAATTCCATGTATATAAGAATTGACAACACTTTTAAAAATTCATCTTATCTCAAAAGATATTGCTTTGAAAGTGTGGAAAATTTGAAGTGTGCAGAGAAAAATAACAAGAAACATATTGTAAACATTGACTCATAAATAACGAAAAACTTTCTTTACGAATATAAGAAAATGGTGAAAATAATTACAAGTAACAGAAGCAAGAAATTCGATTGGTTATCATGGAAATATTTCATGAAACTGGTTTGGAGAATTGAAAGAAAAACAGACAAAACTTAAATTCAAAATATTAAGAACACGGTCAGAAGACCAAAGAAACAAAACAATATCTAAAACATGTAAGTAAACATCATAGACATGCAAATCGTATGAAAAATACATAAATACATTTTTCTTAACAGTAATTTTTAATGATGAATAGAAAGCTACATTGGATGAAGTTGATGTCTTGGCGCAAAAGTTGTTCAACATTACCGACAATATATGAGGGCAGAAAATACGTAGGAAAATATTCCGAATTAGCAATGGGGGTAGGAAAAATTATATTTGATGTTTTTATCATGATAATATTGTAAGTGTTAGAAAATACATTTTCACAATGGTACAGATTACGACCAAGAAGTCTGATGAAGACATATCTGCAAATATACCAAATTAATAGAATTTTTTCTTGCTTTTCTAGATATAAAATAGATATCGTCCATCGTGAAAAGTCATGGGCAGAAGAAAGAAAAACATTTTACAAGCAAAGGTCAGCTACAGTAAAAATAAACAAACAAAAAAAAAGCTGTGGTCATTTTTAAAATAAAATAACAGAAAATAAACAAAACAATATGAAGGCGAACAAATTTATGTGTAAGATAAAGAAAACATCATAGTTTATTCAATTAAATGAGATAATGTGTTAATGAAATGTATCCCTCTGGCCTAAATAAATTGGAATTATGTATAGATTAAAATTTATGTGTCACCGTGAGACTTCAGAAATATGTAAATGTATAAATATTCGAATAAACTATATATAAAGTGATAGGTCCCTCCTTCTCTATCTGTCACACACATATATATGCACACACACACAAACACACACACACACACAAACATATACCTGTATACGTATATATATATATATATATATATATATATATATATATATATATATATATATATATAGATAGATAGATAGATAGATATTTATAAAGGAGGGACTTTAATTTTAAGATTATTAGTCTTTGAGAATATATTTGTACATAAACAGTAATTATATATATATATATATATATATATATATATATATATATATATATATATATATATATATATATATATAATCATATAATCAGAGATATATCTTTATATAATCATATAAACATCATATACTCTTTCATATATAATCAACACATATAAACACACACAGACACACACACACACACACACACACACACATATATATATATATATATGTGTATATGTATTAGAAATATGCTTACGTTGTTGGTATTAAAAGGTACACCTCTATTCTGTCACTTAATTACACATATGTATCTAGAAATTTGAAAAGTAATTAACTTTTCTATCTATTCCCTTTTCCTATCCTTCTCTCAATTATATATACACATACACGCACACAAACATATATATATATATGTGTGTGTGTGTGTGTGTGTATATATATATATATATATATATATATATATATATATATATATATATATATATATATATATATATATGCCAGTATAATTTGGCCTGTCAGATGTCTATCCATTTGTTTTGAGAAGTAGGTCGAATACGTCGAGAGCAAGTCAATTTCACGAGTTACTGAATGTTGTTTTTTATGGTCATAAAAGAAAAATGTAAGAAGTGCAGATGATGAGGAAATGTAGGAATAGACAGCGGCTGCAGCTGAACTTAACGTGGTTAAGATTGTAGTGATCAAGGAAGCATCCTCTCGGGAGATTGTTGCACAAAGTAGCGTTTTCTGGGAAGAATATGTGTGAATGGAATACGAAGGAAATGAGAATGATTGAACCCTCCGTCCTTTGTATCGTAGGTCTTAGCTGTAAATGTGTAAAGTAATGAGTCTATTACTCATCCATCTATACATACATAAATACACACACACATACATGCATACCACCCACACATATATATATGTGTGTGTGTGTGTGTGTGGAGGTGTGTGTATATATGGGTGTGTGAGATGTTTGTTGATATAGATATTGAGGTGTTTACATAATGATGTAATGCATAAATGAAGTGTTACGTTTATCTCGTAAAGATAAATTTGAAAAGGACATATTCGATATAACACGTGTGCATACCACTCGCTTATATATATATATATATATATATATATATATATATATATATATATATATATATATATATATACATATATATATGTGTGTGTCTGTGTGTGTGTGTGTCGTGTGTGTACATACATATATATATATGTGTGTAATTACATACGCTCTATCACTGATACTGACCAATTTATCCTATAAATAAAGCATTTATATATATATATATATATATATATATATATATATATATATATATATATATATATATATATATATATATGTATCTATCTATATATATATATGTGTGTGTTCGTGTCTGTGTATTAATCAATTCCTCCAAGCAATGCGATAATCCTAATAAGACGAAAGTATGTCTAGTGGGAGTGATAAATTGGGAAAAAACCTTTAGAAAGAACCGGAAACCTCTACTCTTTTATATATATATATATATATATATATATATATATATATATATATATATATATATATAATAAATGGTGAGGGATGTGAA